GGAAACCAGCCCCACACCAGGTTGGGGCCCATGCTGACACTCCCCGAGTTGTGACTTGTCCCTGGGATTTGGGGACAGACTGGGGCAGGGCCGGGGGATCCCAGGAGGGCGCACAGGCAGTGGGTGGCTGCTCGAGGCAGGCTGACCTTCTCTCCCGCAGCGAGGGTCGGCCCGTCGGTGCCAAGGCAGGACAGGCCTGTGCGCGAGGGGACCAGAGTGGCCTCCATTGAGACCGGGCTGGCAGCTGCTGCAGCCAAACTGTCCCAGCAGGTGAGGAGGGGGCCCCCTCCTGGGCTCAGGCTCCCCAGATGCCTCTGCTCCCCCCACCCTCATGTACGGAGACCACCCAGTCTGGGGCTGTCACAGCCTTGGGGACGTTTGAGTATTGCCAACCCCGGTTCCTCCTGGCTCCCAAGTCCCTGCTAGAGGGAAGCAGAGAAGCTGGGAACTGGTGGCAGGAGTCTCATGGCAGCTCAGAGTGGGGTGGTGGGGAATGGAGGGGGTTAGGGTGACGGGAGCGGGGGCCCATACTACATGTCACCAATAGGTAAACTCAGATTGAGCCTGTCCACTACAGCTGAGTGCTGGTGCCACATCCCGCACGTCCCTGTGTCCAGGACGGCCCACCTCACAGAGGGGGTCCTGGTGGTCTCTCCACAGGCCCCAATACTGCTCTGCAGAGCTCGGGGTGGCTGGAGGTGGGGCTCGGGCGTGGTCCAGCCCTTTCTGCTCCTGCAGTGCTGGCTCGCTCAGCTCCATGGGAGAAGCCTTGTGCACAGCAGACCAGGCTGCTCCCAGGCTGCAGGCTGCTTCTCAGTGTCCAAAGCCTGGCCAGCCCTGTGGGGTGACACACCTTCATGTTTTGTTCAAAGGAGGAGCAGAAAAGCAAAAAGAAAAAGAACACCAAAAGGAAGCTGGCTCCCAACACCATCTCCCCTTCCGCCTCTGCCTCTGCCAGCACCACCTCGGCCTCCACCACCTCGGCCTCCACCACCTCGGCCTCCACCACCTCGGCCTCTACCACCTCGGCCTCTACCACCCCTGCCTCCACCACCCCGGCCTCCACCAGCACGGCCAGCAGTCAGGCCTCACAGGAGGGCAGCTCACCTGAGCCCCCACCAGAGTCCCACAGCAGCAGCCTGGTTGACCACGAGTACACAGCAGCCGGCGCCTTTGCTGGGGCCCAAGCCGGCCGTGCCTCTCAGCCCATGGCCCCTGGGGTCTTCCTCACCACAAGGAGGCCCTCCTCGTCATCCCCCAACAACACCGCTGCCAAAGGTACCTTGCCTGCCGACCCTGAGTCACCTAGACTTGCAGACTGTCCCTGTGGATGACCACAGGTCTCCTTTGTCCCTGCAGTCATGTGGGTGTATGGCCAGGCACTCAGTCAGTATGTGAAACAAATGGTCCCTTTCAAGACCAAGAGCTCTGGTTACTCACCAGGGGGGTTCTGGTTACCTTGGAGTTAGGTCTGGCCCTTCAGACTCCCAGGGCCTCGGCTTTGGGGGCTGGCTTGAAGTCAGAGTGTGGTTGGTGGTTTGCCGAGGATTCACTGGGAGGAGCCTAAGGTGACCCAGGCTCCTCTGTGTGAATTAGGGGTGGGACGGCTGGCTGGGTCTCGTGGCATCCCCACTGTCACCCCCCAGACCCCCTGCACCATGGGCGTGAGGCCCAGCCAGCCATGGACATGGGGAGTGAGGCTCTAAGTGGCCCTAATGCCATCCCTGGCCTGTCCCTACCCTACTCACCATGGCCCAACCCCTTGTCGACATAGCCTCTGAGTGGGGCGCTTTGTTGACAATTGGTGGTTTTGGAGGGATGCAGAACTCCCTGGACCTGGGAATTGCAGGCCCATTTTACAGACAGGGTGGGGGCTCAGGAGGGTTACAGACCCCCATCCCACATGCTGCTCCTGTCACTCATCTGTCTTTTTTGTGTCTCTGCCTCCCCCAGGAAAGCGTACAAAAAAGGGCATGGCCACTGCCAAACAGAGGCTTGGGAAAATTTTGAAAATTCATCGGAATGGAAAACTGCTCCTTTAAAGTTTGGAAAGCCAGGATCCTTCTGCTCCGCTCAGGACCCTTGGAGCCCTGCTAAAACATCAGCCCCCAAGAGGGTGGCCTTGCTGCCTCACCCCAGGGAGGGCCTGGCCTCTTCCCGGCAACCATCCCCCTCACATGAGCATCTGTTGCTTCAGCGGGCGGAGCTCGCCAATACGGACAGACGTCCTTTCTCAAGTTGCTTAGAGTGACCAGTTCCCGAAACGTGGCCCTGCCAGTTTGAGGACCATTCCAGTTTCAGGACAGCCTCCAGGCATCCCCGAGCATGGGTGTGATTGCAGGGCCTTTGCAGCTCTGCTGGGAGCATGAGTCCTTCAAGGAAGGAGGAGTGAGCCAGTGCTCACCAGGCCCAGAGTCTGAGCTGGCCACAGGCTGGTAGCCTCCAGAGGCTTTAAAAAAGGCAAAGAACACTAGAGAGGAAGAGGAGGAGAGAGCGGGGTGTGTATGTGCCCCCCTTCTCTTCCCAAGTGATTCTCAGACAAGTCCAGAGACTGTTGGGCCCAGCCAGGAGAGGAGCCTCTGTGCTCCCCGGCTGGTGGGTGGTGGGCCGGATGGTGGGTGTTGCACCCTGAATGCCTGGGGCATTTCTCAGGGCTGGCTGGGGCCATCAGCAGGGTCAGTGTGTCAGTGTTGGGGGGGAAGCCATCATGGGGTCCCCAGGGAAGGGTTCAGGCCCAGACACAGTGTGCGGCCCAGGGGGCCCAGGCTAAGCCACATGGGTGGGCCCCGTCCAGCCTGACCATCTATACTCCGAGAAGCACTTCCCAGCCAAGGCACCCCGCCATATGCCTGGTGGGGCAGATGGTGGCCCGGTGGCCCGAGGACTTGGGGGCCAGGCACTTCTGTCTTGTCACCTGTTAACGTTTGGTGTCGAGTGCATGGGTGGCTCCTGGACCACGTGTCTGCCCATCGACACGGAGGGGCTGGATTTGTTTCTCAGGCAATCCTGTATTTTAATTTTAGATGTATTTCCTGAAGCATATTTTTCATAGAATGTAGCATGTAAATAGCTTTTTAAATAACTTCTTTTTTATAAGAGTAAAAGTATCTTTAGGAATTTCTTTCTATAGAGTCCTTCATTAACATTTATACGAGTTTTTTGCCGAGTATGATGAACAGTTGGGTTTCCGATGCTTTTCCTTTTCCTTCTTTCTTTGTATTATTATGGTTATTATTATTATTTTTTCTTTTAGGAACTAAGGTATTGCCTGAAAAACAAGTGTTGTCTTTGCAGCCTTATATCTGTCTTTACAGAAGCAAACAGTACACAAAAGATCTATTTCAGACACATTTGAAGAGGAATCTTCAACTTGGATACCAGCTCTTTCTTTCCTTCTTGTTGATGAAGGGGGTGGGGGTACAGTTATTTTACTAGCACCTTGTGAAGTGTTTCTGTGTTTTGTGATGCTGTAATTTATTAATGTTTGTAGCTTTTTATATTTGTACATTTCTTATGAGCTTTGTTTATATGCCCATCCCTGGGTGTTCTGTCCATGAGGAGAGGCAGCTTTGTGTGGGCCTTGCCACCCTTGCTCATCCTGTTTGGGGGATGCAGCCCCGGGACCCAGAGGCTGGGAGGGGTGAGCCTCATGGGGCCCTGACTATTCCGACCCGGCGTTTTGAAGGTTTCCTTTCCTGTCCTTGTTGAACATTTATATAATCTAACCTGGCCATCAAGCTGTTCTCTCTCTTCCTCTCTCTCTCTCTCTCTCTTTTATTTTTTTAATTTTATTATTATTATTTTGGCAACATGTACATTTCTAACAAAGTTTATTGTGGCTATTAAAGTGTTTTATTTCCCAATTCATATTACTCTTGTATCGAGTCCATGAGGTCTAAGGTAACTTAGATCAAAGTTTTAAAAGAGTAAAAATATTTCAGGTTTTGTACAGAACCATGTCTGTGTCATTTCTGCCTTGTTCACTGTCATCCACTCTGGTGGTGAGGACGGTGGGGATCCTCAACGTTGGGGAGAGGAGCGGGCCAGTGAGTGGGCTGAGTGTGAGGGTGGGCAGTCAGGCCAGGCCCCCTACCCAGGCCCAGCCCTGGCTGCCAACTTTCCCTTTGGAAAGCCTTTGGATTGCCCACAGGGCATATGTACTGCCCTGCACCCCAAAGCTGCAGCACCCTGAGCCAGCCTGCAGGAGCAGGCAGAAGAGACCCTTGGTCAGAGTGGGCAGCCCTTGAGACTCTGACAGTACCAGCCCCAGCCCCTAGCATCCTCAGGAGCCTCTAGTACCTTCTTAGTGTTCACAGGTGTGCAATTTAGTTGAGTCTGGTGAGAGGCACCCGAGAACACGTGTAGGATTTCAGTCTAAAGCTGATGTTAGGGACTTCCGTGATGGCGCAGTGGTTAAGAATCCACCTGCCAATGCAGGGGACATGGTTTTGATCCCTGGTCCAGGAAGATCCCACATGCCGTGGAGCAACTAAGCCCGTGCGCCACAACTACTGAGTCTGCGCTCTAGAGCCTGCGAGCCACAGCTACTGAGCCTGCGTGCCACAGCTACTGAAGCCTGCATGCCCTAGAGCCCATGCGCTGCACTACTGAAGCCCGAACGCCTAGAGCCCGTGCTCCGCGACAAGAGAAACGACCCAATGAGAAACCCACGAACCGCAACGAAGAATAGACCCCGCTCGCCACAACTAGAGAAAGCCCACACGCAGCAACGAAGACCCAATGCAGCCCCCCCCCAAAAAGCTGATGTTATTCACAACAAATGAACAAAAGCAGACCCCTGCCCCCCCCACACACACACACATACACAGATGAACAGTGTAGGGCACAGTGAGGATCGAGGATTAGGGAGAAAGAATGACCAACTGGCCAAAGGGGACTGCCACAGAGGAGACCCTAGGCACACGCTGGGGCTGCCCCAGCTGCCAGGCATTTCAGACATTGCTGGGCCCTGATATGCAGTGTTCAGCCAAGGCAGCTCCACAGGCTGAATTTGCTCCGCTGGACCCCGCAAGAGGGGCCTTTGCAAACCCCATGGTTGGGCATTCACCCTTCCTGGCAGCTGTCCTGTCCCTGCCCAGATCCAGCCAGATCCTGCCCTGTGGCTTCCCCAGGGGTCCGCAACCCCTCACCCCACAGCCGCTGGGGGACCGTGCCAAGCCCTGGGCTATTCTGTACAGCCCACCCTCCTGAGGCCTGGCTCTGGCTGCCCAGCCTCTGAGCTGGAGTCCTTGAGGCTGAGCTATCTGGGTGCTCCTTGGGTCTTCCCACCCCAGCATGGCTGTAGGGACTGGGTCTTCAGAGGGCCATCTGGGACCTGGGGCCCTAGGCTTGGGAAGGACCTCCCAGAAGGTACCCAGAGTCTCTTCCCTGGCCCTAGGCCCTATCCTGGGCTGCACCCACACCATCCTGGTGCAGCATGGCCTGGTCGTGCCCTGGGCCATCACTGTGGCCCCAGCTGCCCTTGTGTTCGGGAATGTCTGTAGGTGGACCAGAGGCATGCATTTCTGGGTGTGCCTGCAGCAGGGGCAGCAAGGGGCCTGTGTCGCTCTGTGCTTGGTGCTGGCTGTGGCCCTTCCAGGGTCTTCTCCCCATCTCCATGCAGGGCCAACAGCCCTGTGACAGTGAACTGGGAGGGGAGGGGCTGAGCAAGCTCCCTGCGCAGCCCCACGGACCCAGCCCCTCATTTGACAGGTAGATAAACTGAGACCCACACTGAAGCCCTCCATGGATGAGACTTGAGTGCTCCAGGCTTGTCCCTTGCTCACCATAATTTCTCAGCCTCCTGGTGACAGGTGTAAGTGGAACACCACCATCGTGTTGAGGCAGCTCCTGGGGGTTGCAGGATGCCAGCAGCAGGGTCCTGGAGAGCCACCTGACCGGCAACAAACTTCGCAAGAGGAAATATGAAGGGTTGCATGTTAGGCCTTTGAGATGTTGGGAGCTGTCTTTTTTACTGCAGGCTGCCTAGTTCTGTCCGACTGAGACTCACATGTGGCTGTGTCCTGTGTACTGAACATGGCATAAATAAACAAATTGCCCCTTAAGTCGGTTTCCAAATTTTTAGCTGAATTTTACAGTCATTTCCCGAGCACCTATTGTGTTCCAGGCTCGGTGTTGAGAACCTTCCAGAGGCTTCATCGGGGCCGATTTTGCCAAGGAGGACTCCAAGCTCAGAGGGGGCACCTGTTCCCCTGCTCCTCTTGGGAAGCCTGGGCTTTGCCTGCCACCTGCTCACTTGTACAGTAGGACAGGCTGTGATGAGACACACCCATGGTGTTGTGTTACACTCCAGGTGAATGAAGGGGGTCTGGAAGCTTCCCTGGAGCAGCCCATGAGATGAAAATGTCTTCAGCAACACAAGCAAAGGCCCCAGGGCAAGTGACCAGACCTCAGGGTGGTCAGATGGTGGGAGACAGGGCTGGAGCTGGCTCAGAGCAGGTGGAGGGTGTCCACACAGTGGGGAATGTGGCAGGCCCTGTGGAGCCCTTGCAGGTTAGCAAGCAGGTGCAGTGGACTCTCCGGGAGAGCAGCCTCTGCAGGGTAGGCTGAGGGCAAGGGATTTATTCTCCTGCTGGCTCACATTCCCCTAGGATCCCCCTCCTCCTAGGGCTCCCTCTCCCCTCAAAGGCTCCCCCTCCCCCAGGTCTCACCCTCTACCCCTTGTGCCCATCAGGCACATGTTCCCATCGTCTCTGTGCAGGTGGGGAGCTTAGCCCCGCCGGCAGCCCAGTCTGCTTTGCATGGTCCTGCCTGGGTGCTCAGAGCCTTGGACGGACCCAGAGCCAGTCCCCAAACCTGCAGGAGAGTCCCACTTGGTGTCTTGGGGCAATACTGAGAGCGACCACCAGGAGGCAGGGGAGGGCCATGAACGAACAGTCCTTCAATCAAACAGCAGTTCATTTAGCACGTGTTGTCCTGTGGGCAGGACGCTGGGGCTAACGGCCGAAGGGACAGCAGTGGGCAAAGAGAAATAAAGTTAACAGCATACTGTGAGCGTTGGGAAGGAGATGATAATAATCAG